TATATATATACACACACAGATAATGCTTTACTATGTCACCCACTTTTAATGGAAGCAGACCATAAAAATAATATACTTGTGTGTGTGTGTTTCACAAATTAAAACTATTTTTGTAATTAATTCTTTATAGCTCAAATGAACATTAAAGCTGTTTTCCCTTGTCCAGTCTCATCACATCTCTTCTCGGTCATACGCGGTCTCTGTGGTTTTCCATATACCGTATTTTCTGGCATATAAGTCACAGTTTTTTTGCATAGATATGTCAGTCCTGCGACTTATATGTCGAAGCAACTTGTATGCGTTTGTTTTTTTTGCTCCATATTCATAACAAAATTTTTGTCTGACGCTTTAAATTTTTGAAGAACTGCAACAGCGAGTCCTCCCGAGCGCGCTCTCTTCACTCAGCTGGTGCAGTTGGAGGAATGCTGGAGAGCTAGTGGCTATGCATGCATGCATGCCCAGGCAAAATGAAGCTGTTTTGACCATTAAATAAATGCATAATAAATGCGACGGGTCAGCATTGACGCATAATAAATGCGACTTATACGCCAAAATGACATATAGTATGTTTTATTCCTCTTCATGGTGCTTTTTTTGACTAATGAGACTTATACTCTGAAGCACCTTATACGCCAGAAAATACGGTAATTAAGTGCCACTTCACTATGAGATGGATCGTCATAGAGTGCCCGCTCAAAACTTTCTCATCGTTATTTTCTATCCAATGCTAACACAACACAGCAAATCAGTGAACTAAATTCACAAAACATTCACCATTCTTCTTTGCAAAAATACCGTGGATAAGTCAAGGCCACCTTTCTTTCACCAGTTGGAGCTCGGGATTTGAGTCCGTTTGGACTAGTTCCACTGAATTCTGCCAACAAGCACTGAGACGTCTGTACCTCCTCCTAGTGCCACAATGTTGGTTTGATTGTTGTAATATTACCCAGTAATAGAAATATATAAAATAAAAATAAAAAATCTAAACAAAGCTGCTGTTACAAGGTTTTAAAAATGGTGGGAAAGAGTCGCTCTCATCACTGAACATCGCCCTCTGCCCAGTCAGTGGCTTGCAATCAGCTGTCGTCAGATCTTTAGCTTGGCCTGCTTCGAGTCTTGGCCGAGTGGGTCCAAAGAACTGAGCTGGGGGTGAGTGGGATCATCCAACGGAGTCGATCCGAACGGCACCAAGTCGAGCCCATGGAGAAAGAACAAAGGTGTTTATAAGTCTCTTTTATATATATATATATATATATATATATATATATATGAACAGTAGTTTGTTCCTTCCTTCCTTGGATAGATAATTGACATTTATAATGTTTCTGTTCAGTGCCGTGAGATGACTTCTGTTGTGACTTGGTGCTATATAAATAAACTGAATTGAAGTGAACTGTCTTAAATGTAGTTTTCTACATTTGTCTTGGAATCTAGCTGTTTTTTGTTTTGTTACCTTTTTCCTTTTAGCCATCCTATTTGTTAAAAAAAAAAAACTGTAGTATGCTTTTTTATAATTATTTATTGTTGTTGCTGTTGTCCATTGTTGTCATCTTTCTTTGTTGAAATCAGGTCTCTCTTGTAAATGAGTCCTCGAGGCTCAATGGGATTTACCTGTATAAATAAAGGTTGATTGATTGATTGATTGATTGATTGATTGATTGATATATTATGTATGAAAGGTTAAATTTTTGCAATAAACCAAACTATTTATCACCATTGGTCAAGAAGGATTACAAACTATATATATACTGTACATAAGATATTTGTTTAGTTTTTGTCTGTCACCATAAATTAGGACAAATGGCAGCTTGACGTTCTCTTCAGTGGTAGTGTCTTCCTCGGTACGTGCTGGTCCTCAAACTGTGCTCAGTTTATTAACTAATTATTGCTTCTAAAATTGCTCATCAGACATCGTCAGAGCATTTCTAAACACAGCGTGAAGGCTATTAATACAACACCATGTCTCAGCAGATCCCCACGTAATGCACTGAACAACACTGCCTCAACACTTGCAGCGTCTGTGGCATCGTGCTGTGAGATAAAACTGCACCTTTTACAGTGGCCTTTTATTGTGGTCAGCCTAAGGCACACCTGTGTACTAATCAGCATCTTGATCAGCCACGCCTGTGAGGTGGATGGATTATCTCTGTAACTAACACAGATTTATCCAAACTTATGAAGAATATTTGAGATTAAAAGCCCTTTCTATGCATAGAAAAGTCTTAGAGTTCAGCTCACGAAAGATGGGAGAAGAAACAAAGTGTTGCGTTTATACTTCTGTTCATTGTGGTGTATTTTATTGCATCAGCACTTCAGTATATTCAGAGAACATTTTCTCCAGTGTGCTGCAGCGGGAACATTTCAGAGTCGTAAACACAAGATTAAAAGCAGTATTTTAATTCAGGCTTTGGGTGATTTTCTTTCGCCATTAAATGCCACTATTAGTTTTATATAAATAAATTGCTTGGTGGATAAATTGAGGCAGTTAATGGGTATTTTTAGGTCACTCACATTTGCCTGCCAATTCTTTTAATATGAAATGTCTGCAGAAGTGTCTGCACGGTGCTGTAGAACAGCTCTTTGCTTTTGGACCTTCATTTTGATTCATGCAGATCTGATTTAATAAGTAAACGCAAACTAAGCAAACATAAACGTGTTACGTGTCCATTTCAGTTGAGTACTGTTGTCTTGTTTTATCAGATGTGTATTAACAGATGCATTAAGAGCAAATAAAAACAGTATGGGTGACGTATATATTGAGTATCAGGCTCTGTGCTTTAAAACAGTCGGCACGTGTCCTGGCTCCATCATCGCTCAGCCTCCTCTGGTCACTCCTCTGGGAGGCATTAGCATCCGAGCCGCACTTTAGATTTAACACTCACTTACCACACTGCTCTTACTCTCCTTTTAAGCAACGTTGTGGTTAACGAGCACGATTATGAAACAATACAAGAAAAAATAAATAAACCCATCTGTGTAGCTTTTAGATGTCGGCACATGTTTCAGCATTTCCACAGGAGTGGATTTTCACCTTTGCCTCAGCGGGGGTTTACCTGTATTTGTCGTACAATTGAACTTTCACACAGACAGTTGGATAGGAAAGTTCCTCTTTACAGCTGGTGTCTTAGCTATAAGTGATGTTCTTAGAAGTGTGGATGTTGAAAGCTGCATGCTGTTCTGCAGGAACACTGGCGCAGATGTTAAAGCAGTACTCTGCTGGTGCAGATGTTAAAGCAGTACTCTGCTGGCGCAGATGTTAAAGCAGTACTCTGCTGGTGCAGATGTTAAAGCAGTACTCTAACAGTGTATCAAAGGCTTTAGGAGGACCAGGGTGATGGAGAGAGCTATTTATTTTCTCATGACCAAGACCTCACAGATGTGTAAATGGGTCATAAATATTCCAGGAAGCCACCAGTAATGGAAGGCTGGAGCATGTTCAGTGCTCTGTACTGTAAAAAAATCTACTCAAATCCAGTCTGGTTCCATTGTCATCTCATACTGTTTTCATTTCTGCACATCATGCATGAACTAACTGCATCTGCACAATAACCAAACACTCATTTTTACTCAGAATCATCATTGAGAATCTTTTTTTTTTAATTTTCCAAACCACAGAAAGAGAAAAAAGTCTGATCTGTAAGGAGGGGGGGGGGGGGTGCCTTTGAGGTCACTGAGTATGGAAAGTTCATTCAGTGGATTATTTTTCTCTGTGTTTGTGATTTAGTTTTTGTTCTGCACACAGCAGAGACCCCCGCCGCCTGAAGACGTCCTATTCCACATCAGCAAAGTCTTCTTTAAAAATGTTGATGCAGCAGTATTTTTAATAGTTATAAATGGCTTTGCTTCAAATTTGTAGTACTCCACCAAGTCTTTGCTTTCACTTTGGAGCAGATGTGGTCTTTGCTTTCAGGGAGTCCATGATGACTTGCTCTGTCCGCGAGGCTGGACCTGATGGCTGATTTAAAGGAAAATTACAGATTATTTTTAAACCTGGGGCCTTTTTCTTCTGATCTCCTGAAATCAAGTGCTTTATAAAGACCAAACTGTTCAGAATGGGTCCAACCTGTTCTAAAACCAGAGTAAATGACAACTAACCGTCCTGTAGCTCAGCACCAGTTACTGTTGTCTAGCTCAATATTGGACACTTTAAAAACATTTTTTATCTACATCAATCTAAAATCTATGTTCCGTTTTAAAATAATCTCCAGTTTTCCTTTAATTTTCTTTTCTGAAAATGAAATAAGTGGCACTAAAAACAGTTTTGAGGTTGCTGGAGCCAAGTCAGCAGACAATGGTTATCATAGCTAAGTCTTTTTTAATCCGCATTGCTACTCTGCTTCTCGACAGCAATCTCCTTTGGGGATTATCTGCTTTGCAGGCGTATCTGCTGAGTGGTTTGGGCTTCGTGCCGTGTTCAGTTTTGTAAACAGGAAATAATGCTGGTATTTAGGTCAATAGCTACATTTAATAGATGGATAGTCATAGTTACAGATGTCAGATGAACAGTGCTTTATTTAAAGTTTAAACCCATCAAACTCAGTGGGTCAGGAAAATTCAACGACCGATTGGATTCAGTCTGCTGCTAATTTTTGGACCTTGATCACGACTGGATCACAACTTTTAGAGGTTGTTCTTTACATAAAGAAAATAAAAGGTTTTGTTTAAAAAATACATTTTATGGTCTTTTTTCCCCCTTTGATTTGTGTAGAAAGACATCATCTATAAGAAAGAAGAAATGACATATGGTGTAATAAAACTGGACAGGGGTTAAATCAAATTTTTACTCTGTTAGTTACATGCCACCTGTTTAAATGACATATTTTTATGATGCCATGAAATGAAACCATGAAAAATTAATTTAAAAAAAAATTCCCATCTTTACTGTGACATATATCCAGTAAATCACACCTGAAAAACATTTTTTAGGGAGAAAACTATAAAAAAAAGAATATGCAACAAGCTGGTTGCCTAAGCATGCCCATCCTTAAATTAATACTATAAAGATTTACTTTAATTTACAGCCTTGGGTCATCTTGAGGACACACCTGTCCTCATTTCAAGTGACTCTGACTCTGGATCTGCCTGTCCTTTACAGAGAACTTTCAAAGCATTGAAAGGATGTCATTGTTAAAATACATCACTTAAAAAAGGTGCACAAAGTTAATTAGCATCTGATGGAAGACGGTGAAATAAAGCATTACGAAGGGGAAAACCAGGAGGCCTCCTGCAACTAAAGGAGCTGCACTGACCACTACTGGTTGTGTACTACTGGTGACAACAATCTTTGCTATTAGCATGTCTTGACTGTGGAGTTGTGAGGTATAAGCCAAAAATCAAAATGAAACATTCAGGCCTGGCTAAATATAATGTATATATAAAAAAATCAAATAAATCACAAAATCATATCACACACAATATATGTGTTAATATTACACAATATTTTATATCAAACTATTGTATCAAACAATATATTTATATCACACAATATATTTGTCACACAATATATATCACACAATATATTTGTTATACAATATTTTATATCACAATATATATCACACAATATATTTATGTTACACAATATATTTATATCACACAATATATTTATGTTACACAATATATTTATGTTACACAATATATTTATATCACACAATATATTTGTCACACAATATATCACACAATATATTTATATCGCACAATATATTTATATCACACAATATATTTGTCACACAATATAGCACACAATATATTTATGTTATACAATATTTTATATCACACAATATATTTGTTACTCAATATTGTATATCACACAATATATTTATATCACACTATATATTTATATCATACAATATATTTATATCACACTATATATTTATATCATACAATATATTTATATCACACTATATATTTATATCACACAATATATTTATATCACACTATATATTTATATCATACAATATATTTATATCACACTATATATTTATATCACACTATATATTTATATCATACAATGTATTTATATCACACAATATATTTATATCACACTATATATTTATATCATACAATATATTTATTATATGGGGGCCGAGATGGTGCAGAGGCAGGGCAGCCGGCTTGGGACCCGAAAGTCCCAGGTTCGATCCCCAGTCACTGCACATCACGTGGTGTCTCTGGGCAGCACACCTCATCCCCAAAATGCCTCCCGGGCGATTTCAATAGCTGCCCACTGCACCACCTGGTGGTGGATGGGTTAAATGCAGAGACTAATTTCGCCATTGTATGGAAACATACAGTGCTGACATTGTGATGACATTATTATTATTATTATTATTTATATCACACAATATATTTATATCACACTATATATTTATATCA